GAGGCTTGTATTTGTACTAAGTCGGTCCTAAAATAGGTTCTAAGTACAAAACGTTAGGAACTTGATATAATAGGTAATAACGCAGAGCAATCTAGTGGTGGTGGTTGCTGATACTTTAATATCTGACTAACGGTCGTCCGGCATCGACTGACTGACCGACCAACTCCCTGAGCGACTTCTACCACTCTTACTTATTATAGGTGAGAGAGTCTATTAACTATAGAATAGGTGTTTTCCACTATAACAGAAATAAATTTGGGATTAATCGAAATTAATTCCGAAATTCAGCAAAAGTCACCTATGAAATAAAAATGATTGTTTGTACGGAAAGTAAGGACCTACGTACATCAAATTGTTTTTAAATTAACTGGCAGCAGAAGAATTATCGTTTAACTTTTAAAAGGTAAATTTAGATATTAATGCAATGCTTAAATGCAGCTATCAATTTTGAATTCTTCTGTAGTTTATTGTTGCTTATCACATATGGCAGCAGTATACAAAAAGAAATCTCTGCCAACAAAGGACCAGATTGCACTTAAAACAGCCAAGGCTGCAGTGAGTGAAAGAAAGTCCCCATGCAAATGAAAACCCAGATCAAACAACAGCCAGGAGTGTTTCTGATGCTGAGAATATGCAAAAACTTAGACTCTCAAACTCCTGAACAAGCCGAAGACCCAATCAAAAGCCCTCTGCAGAAGCTAGCTTAAATGCTGCCTCATAGGGTGGCTTTTAATCTAGTATTTAATAAGTTAAAGGAAAAACTGCCAGTGCTACAATAGAAAACATGTTGATTTTACAAACATTGGAAATTAAAATTTTATCTTCACTGAACTTTGTATAAAATGTGCTGAAAACTTCTTAGACTGAACTCTTTATTAAAACTCTGACAGTAGAGTACTTAACTATTATGTAATATCGGCCCTCTTATATGGCAATGAATGCTGGACAATCTTATCACAGATGAAAAAAAAAAAAAAGACTTGAAGCAACAGAAATGTGATTCTACAGAAGGATGCTGAGAATACCATGGACTGAACATGTGAGCAACAACCAAGTTTCATAGAAAATGGAAACGAAAAAGACATTTACAGTTAACATCAGAAAGAGACAACTGAAATTTCTAGGGCACACAATGAGGAAAGTGGGCTTGGAAAATCTGATACTCACAGGACAAAAGGGACTGGAAAGCAATGAATAACCTACCTAATGAGCTTGCACAAATGGATAGCAGAATTGCGTTTAGGAGAGATAGCAAAAAGACAAAATTTACCAATTACTTTGCATTGGAAAAGCTATATCACAGAGCAATATATATTTTTCATAGGAAACTTCAAAATAACAAATAAACTATCTTGTTTCCCTTTTATTAATTAAGTCTAATTCTGTGTGTATGTCCCTTCAGGACGTGTGCAATCATGTCTGTCTATAATTTCCTATCCTTTGTAAATTTTTTTTTCTATCTCTCCTAATCACTGTCCTACCATCCATTTACACAAGGTTGATAGGTCGGTTATTTGCTGCTATCCTGTTCCTCTTTTATTCAGTATATCTTGTGAGTGTCAAATTCTCCAAGCCCTCTTTCTTCATTATGTACCTTAGAAATATTAACTGCCTCTTTCTGATCTTAAGTATAAGCGTCCCCTTTGTTTCCATTTTCTCTAAAACCTTGTCAATGCTCACATCTTCAATCCATGGTATCCTCATCATCCTTCTGTAGGACCACATTTCTGTTGCTTCAAGTATCTTCTTCACCTGTGGAGAGGTTGTCCAACATTCACTGCCATATAGGAGAAATGATCTTATATAACGGTTAAGTACTTTTTTCTTTTTTCTTTTTTTTTTTTTTTTTTTTTTTTTTTTTTGAGATTTTTCTTGTTTTTTAAAATTTTGCTTAGTTTTTAGAAGTCATCTTTCAATGCATCTCTGGGTTTTGGTGAAGGCCAACTCCTCATTAATACTAAAGGATCATTTTATTGTCATTAGAACCAGTTTTAAAATAATCACCATCATCAGTTCCATGACTAGGTGTAGTCATAAGATCACTGGTGAGTACCTGACCAGTTACCTCTATATATCAGCTGGAGAGATGTTTATTCATGTATAGTGTATCTTTTACATCCATGTGATAGGTAGGACTGTATTAGAAGATACTAGTATCATTTATAGACTGAGCTGACATTGTATGTGTAGGATGTCCATAAAGTTCGTGTGCACCTTTTTAAAAAAGAAAAAAAAATTAATAACTTATAAGTGCACACGAACTTCATGGACACTCTGTGCTGTGTGTGTGTATGTATATACACACACACACACACACACACACAATGATGTTCATCCTGTAAAAGGCCTAGGAGCATTTCAGGTAGAGTGTTACAGGAAACAAGTTTTAAACTCTAGTCCTGTTCAAAAAACCTGCAAGAAATGTGAGCCAGATGATAGACAAACTTATCTAATATATATAATGTGTGTGTGACACAAAATCTCTAAACAGCTTTCCTCTAATTTGAATCCAGAGTTGAACTTCTAGAGGAGTTGCCAACTGAGGCAAGAGGGCCCAGTCTGCCCACCTATTTGCCTCCTAGTTGGGGGTGAAGAAATGTATTCATAGTTCCCAAGGGTATTTGTAAGTGAATGCAACACACTTGGCCAGAATTTAAACTCAAGTCTATGATTTGTTTTCTGAGCCACTAACCATTGCACTACCATATATTTCTTTCTCTCTATATATATACACACGCACACACACACGCACACACACTAGTGAATATATTATTGAAAGAACAATGTGTAGCAATACAGTGAGACCAGAAAGAAAAAACACATGTGATATCAAAATAGAAGATTTCAAAATAATCTTTCAGCAGCAAATATAGTTGTTTGTATTAAAATAAAAATAATCATCTTTGAAATGATGTTAAAATAGATGGCAGCAAAAACAAGTCAATCCTGCACACTTGACACAATTTCAAACTTGATTGTACTGAAACATGTGCATAGCGTCGTGGTTATTGGCACAGAAAGTGAAATCAGCAGGCCAAGTTCAAATTCCAACTGAGGCAAATTGCATTTGCTTTTGTACATATGTATTTGGGGAAAGTTCTCAATGCATCCCTTTTTCTTCCCATTCTTTGAGCTAAATAATAAGTAGATTATATTGGGCTCTCTAACTTTTATTGTCAATCTGTCTATGAGGAGGACAACTCTGAAATCAAAACTTGGTATGAGGCTAGCAACTCCACCCTATAAAATATACTTACCACTGAAACTGTGGCAATGCCATCTAGCATAGTGAGTTGATGGCTATATACACAAGGAGTCCACAGGTTCAACCAACAACATTCTTGTCAATTTTGGTGTCCTTCCTAGGGAATTTTAGAACATATAGCTATCAGTTTTTCTTGATCTAAGAATTAAACACTAGACTTTCAGGGAACCATTATTGAGACTGATGTCCTCATCTTTGTTATTATTATCAAAAACATTTTGGCTGTTGTTCTCTCCAGTCTTCTTTGAGTACCTTTCAGGGAACCAAATCAGCATTTCGTGCATTTATATCCACAAGGACACTTCATTTTTTTTTTTTTTTTTTTTTTTAATTCTAAAATTTTAACTTTAATTAATGACTGATGTCACTCCTAATCTATTCTTGACTTTTAGATTGGATGATTTGAGCATAGAAAACAAATAAAGAAATTAAACATTCCTAAAAATTTAAGAATATTACAGATAATTAAGGCTAAATGGTACAGTGGCAGAAGCATTATGATAAAAACAACAAACCTGAAAATTTTTTACATTATTTACATTGTCCTCATTTTTATTGCCATATTCACATTTCAGCCATTGTACACTCCAGCCTTCTTCAGCTGATTGGAATTTTGAACTGAACCCTTTATTTTGTCCATCAGGGGAGATTGTTCTAGTTCAACATGCCATGCCTCTTCTGGATGCCTTAGTTATCACTCTTTCCCTCAATCCCTCCAAGTTTTTGTTCACCACTACAGTAACCAGGTACTGAACTCACAACTTTTTGGGTCAAGTCACTGGATACAACCAATGCTTTTATCCACTGGGCTATTTGTCCTTGAAGACATAAATATTGTAAATAGTTACAATACCTCATCTCAGAAATAGACAGATGCTGAAGAAATAGGTTCAAATAAATCATTTTTTTTATTTTTTTTTATTTTTTTTTACAGTGATACTCACCCTTTACAAGGCCCAGAAGCCACTTGAGGTAGAGAGTTACAGAGTACAAGGCAGAGTTTATGTGCATATGAAAATAACAGCTAACTCTAGATTTGAATAGTTTAAGATTTTAGTGAGCAGGAAAGCATCTTCTTTGGAGTCCACAAATGGTTTGTGAGAAAAAGCTGCTTGAGTTAAACTTACATCTGACCAATGGAAGATGAAGGGAATGAGGGTGGTTTGCTACAATGGGTGTGGCTGGGTGGGTCTTAGCAGTGAAGGTTAGAACTGGTGGAAGTAAGGAATGTAGTTCGTCTGAGCACCTTTTTATAGAAATAGAAATAGAGCCGTGAGAGGCTTATGAGTTTTTGTCCGTGAGAAAGGTGTTGTAGAGTAGAAAATAATTTGTCACCCACAAGGATGCAGCAATGCTTTTGGATTTAATTGAGACTGGAAAGTAAAAACTGGACTGCACCTTGCTCATATACGGCAATTATAGTAAAAATAATTTCACAGAAATTCAAACAGCTCTAGGAAGGTTGGTAAATAGAAAAGCCAAAATATAGTGATTATTACTACAAAGATGGTGATATTGAACTGAATAATATTTATCTGCGAAATTCATGCAAGAATTTTGCATGGTCACCATTAATATTAGGAAACTTGTTCTTTTTTGTTTTTGTTTGCAAGATTTTCCTATTTTGTTATAGAAATAGGTGCAGCTGTTCCTAAAGCTATTGCATAAAAAAAAAAGTTATTATTAATATTGCATGACTTCTTTTCATATTTTTATTTGATTTATTCTTTTGCAGCAAGCATTGATGTCCTTTGAAGAAGAAAAGATAGAAGAGGCTATCAAAGCTCTACAGGATACAGAGAAAACATGTGATCCAGAGAGTGGAGTCTTTAAAAACCTAAAAAGAAAATTTTCTAAAAAGAAGAAATCACAGGTAGGGTTTACTATTCTCCTCACCATAGATTTCCATTTGCTTTTTTGCTTCTTCAAAGAATACTCATTTTTTTAATCTTCATTCCTGTCCAAGATTTTCTTTTTTTTTTTTTCTTCCCCATCCAAGATTTTCTTCTTTTTTTTTTCCCGATCCAAGGCTTTTTTTTTTTTTTTTTCCTGTCCAAGACTTACTTTGTTTTTTGTTTTTTTTCTTTCCTGTTCAAGACTTTTTTTTTTTCTTTTTTTTTTCTTTCCCGTCCAAGACTTTCTGTTTACACGGACAAAACAATGATAGTCTGTTTTTGTTGCATGAAAAATTTCAAAGCAACGACAAACTCGTGTATACAAGATGCTGAAGCGGAAATCACGTTGCAGCTCATGACGTCACACATGACCATGCAAAAGTGAAAATGAGAAGTATTAAGTGTGGAAAACTGTTGGTATAAACCAATGGCTTCTGTTATCAATTATAGGCATTTAAGAATATTTGTGGAGATACACGAGTTTCTTTGAAATTTTACATGCAACAAAAACAGACTATCATTATTGTTTCATCCGTGTATTGTTTGATATATTGAAATGTAATTGTCATCTTTGATAATGGCTTATGTAAGCCGAAAGTTTAGATTGGATTTAAACATGTATCAATATGGTGATTTCCTTTCATCTTTCAATGATAAGCTTAATAACATTATCAGACAATATGAAAGAAACTTACTTAAAATAAATAGACAAAACTTGTCTATGTTATTTAATGAAACATGCATCAATGAAAAATTGCTGCCTAAATATACACAGTGCGCGTATATATATATATATATATAATAAAGTCATCCACAGACAGACTGTTTCGCTGTTTCACAGCTCTTCAGTGTGGCTAGACATCCGGTTGCCTCTAGCTAGGATTGAAACCCAACTGAATTGGTGTCAGTCGGAGATTCTACCACTAAGCCGTCGGCGCACAGCAGGGATAAAGGTGAATTTTAGCGTATTTATTTTTAGATGAACGCACAGTGACCGACAGTGACTCAATTTGCTTTTGCCGAAGAGTCTCGCTATATCAGCCATAATAGTCACTTTTTACAAACCCACACCTCTTCCCCAGAGAGCTCAACTGAAATTAATTTTTCAGGAGCCAATATAAAGTCATCCACAGACACTGTTTCACAGCTCTTCAGTGTGGCTAGACATCTGGTTGCCTCTAGCTAGGAATGAAACCTGACTGAATTGGTGTCAGTCAGAGATTCTACCACTAATCCGTTGTGTGTGTGTGTATATATATATATATATATATATATATATATATATAAAATTTCATGCAAGCAAGGCAATAATGCCTCTAAGGCACAAATGTTTACTGCATGTGAAAGAGGATGTGAAGAGAAAGGACAATAAAAGATCAGGATTCAAGAAGACGTAGTTTTGCCACAAAAACATAACCTGAAAATTTGTCATATTCCTAACCTCGTCGGATCAAGACTATCATATGGATGCCATGCATGATGCCAAATCAGTTCAGAAATATCTAAACTTTCAGCTATATACTGCTGCCATCTAAGATCAATGGTTATAAATAACTTTGAGTATGTGTATCTTGGCCAAGACCCATCTTCCTTGAACATTGTGGACTAGCACTACAGAATCACAAAAAAATGTACAAAATAACAAACCATATCACTTGAGGACTTTCAAAAGCAGCAACAACTAAAATGGATAGCACATGTAACTTGAAGAGAAAATAATGACATAATCAAGATGCTGACATTCCACACTACTTCAAGTTAAAGGTTAGGGAGGAAACCGCTATCAATACTGGAAAGATCTATAAGAGCTACTGGAAACCTTTTTTCTTAAAAAAAGATTGTTTTAAGAGAAAGATTTTATAAATTTTAACTGAAAGTAAACTAACTGCTTGATCAATGAATGTTAAATGTTTCCTTATAAGAAAACAGCTAATATTATCATTAGCATTTTAATCATGTACAGTTGTCTTTGTTTGACTTAGATTATCATGTTTGTGTGGGTGGAATGAAAAATATCTCAGCAGTTTAAATTTTGATGATCCAAGCTTAATAAAAATGGGTATTAAATTTTTCTAACAATGTTTCTCAGTAGCATTGCATGTAAAATCCCATTCAGTATTTTTGTTGTTTGTTAAAATAGATATATTGTTGAAGGTGACATCTGAATTATATCTATTGTTTCACAATATAAAAATTTCATGTACCATATGGCACTTTGTCTTTTATTCTAAGAAACAATGATGTTCCTGGACTAAATGTATTATTTATTTTTTATTTTGCAATAGGATTAAACGATATTGATGAAATGAAAGCTAAATGCTGTATGCATTATTCATGTATTTTAGTGCAATTAAATATTCAAATTTAAAAAAAATCTTTTTTAGTATCAAGTAAAATTATTTTGGCACCAGCATACGTGAAATCCAATTTTTCTGTTCTCTTCTTTTTTTTCTTTTTATTCGTTCTTTTTTTTTTTCTCTCTCTTTTTCTCTCTTGCTCTTTCTCTCTCTTCTCTTTTTCTGTCTTTTTCCTTTGTTCTCCTTGTCTTTTTCCTTTGTTCTCCTTGTCTTTTTCCTTTGTTCTCCTTGTCTTTTTCCTTTGTTCTCCTTGTCTTTTTCCTTTGTTCTCCTTGTCTTTTTCCTTTGTTCTTTGTGTCTTTTCCTTTGTTGTCTTTTTCCTTTGTTCTCCTTGTCTTTTTCCTTTGTTCTCCTTGTCTTTTTCCTTTGTTCTCCTTGTCTTTTTCCTTTGTTCTCCTTGTCTTTTTCCTTTGTTCTCCTTGTCTTTTTGTTCTCCTTGTCTTTTTCCTTTGTTCTCCTTGTTTTTTCCTTTGTTCTCCTTGTCTTTTTCCTTTGTTCTCCTTGTCTTTTTCCTTTGTTCTCCTTGTCTTTTTCCTTTGTTCTCCTTGTCTTTTTCCTTTGTTCTCCTTGTCTTTTTCCTTTGTTCTCCTTGTCTTTTTCCTTTGTTCTCCTTGTCTTTTTCCTTTGTTCTCCTTGTCTTTTTCCTTTGTTCTCTTTTTCTCTTTTCTTCTTGTAATGTAAAATACCTAGTAAGTGAAGTTAATCATTCCAAAGCAGAAAATCCTAATAGCCAGAAACTAAGGTTTGTATTTTAAAATATTGATTGAATTCCAAAAATTGTTTCAACTTTTGATCTTTTCATTACATTTGCTTTTATTGCAGTATTTTAACTGATCCATTCTATTTTAAAATGTACAATCCCTATGAAAAAAGGCAGTTTCTTTTTCTTCATTACTGTACTGGGAGACTTGTTACCAAGACTATGAATTTAAGTGCATTACTAGATTGGCAGTAAGATTTCACTTTACAGTCGCAATAACTAGATGTAATCGTGAGTTCTATGCTAAGTTTTTCTTGCACTTCTCTCACATGGAACTCTCTTCTAGTTTCTTGCTTTATAGTCAACTTTGATATTCAAAAATCTAAATGCAATGTCAATCATTATCTTCTGTCTTAAATTCTGTTTTTATTATCCTTGCTCCTTAATGTTTTTCTTACATTCTTTCACAATCAGTAGCTCTCTATATTTTAGTGACTCTCTTTCTTTGATTGGGTTGGAGGGGGCTTGATGATGTGAAAGGGAATGCAACAGATGGAATTTGAATACTACTCTCTGATTCCACTTTCCATACTGATATTCATTATACTAACCACACATCTTGGTGGTGCGAGGTAAAGATAAGATACCTACCTCCAACTCTTTTTTATATACAGGGTGATTGAAAAGTAACTCCCTATTTTGTGTGTGATGGACTATAACTATAATTTTTACAAGACTGGAAAGTCCATCGTACGTGGAGTTAATTTTCAATCACCCTGTAGATTGAACAGCTGAGGAAGAAAGAATTGCCAAAACGATTTCTGTAACAAGAAAATTAATAAGAGAAACAAGGTTAATACTTAGGGTAGTTTTTAGTATGACGATTCTTCAAAATTATAAAATGTCTGCAATCATTACAGTAGAGAGTTTAAAAAAAACTAATAACCTTTTTCCTTTTAATCTTTTTTCAGACGGAAGTTCAAATGGGAAGTGAGGATCGAATGCAGCGTCAAATCATTATTGCCGACTCCCTGTTGTACCAGGCTGTGCTGACCTTCACTCACCAGGACATTCCTAGCTATATTAAAGGCGGCTGGCTTTTGCGCAGAGCTTGGAAAATCTATGAGAAACTCCACCGTGAAATTAGTGAACTGTTGTCCCGACATTCACAGACCAAACTCAGCCAATCTTCGGATTCAATCTCCAGCAGTAACAGCGACATCCGTTTGTCACAGGACGGCACCTGCACGGATGGGAACGATAATGAACTCACCAAAGATGTGCTGGAACGTCTGCTAGGCTCTGTAAACTTTGGTTATGGAACCTTCCAGCTGTGCGTATCAATGGTTCCACCAAAAATTTTAAAATTAATAGAATTTTTAGGCTTTGAGGGGGACCGCAATGCCGGATTGGACGCTTTGAATCATACGAGTTATAGCAAAGATATGAAAGCGCCATTAGCAATTCTTGGTCTTTTGTGGTACCATACTGTACTACGTCCATTTTTTGCCCTGGATGGTACCAAGACATCTGCTGGTAAGCATCTGTGTTTTGTATTTTTTTCTTGTATTTTTAAAACTATTTGGCAGTTTGCTTCTGCTATTTATTTAGAATTTCTAAATCTAAAGAATCTGTAAGGTTATCGGTCCTGACCTGGCATCTCGGCTTCAGCCACTTTCCCAATGCTTTCCAGTGGCTTTATTGCCTTGCTTGGGGTGAAATGATTTTTAAAAAAAAAAAACAAAAAAAAAAACATTTCTGAGATTTTGGCAGTAAGCAAAAAAAAAAAAATTTTTTTATTTCTTATTTTCTATTTTTCTTTTTTTTTCTTTTTTTTTTTGTCATTTATTGTGTGGAAGAATAGGTTAAATTTATTCTATATGGAAGAAGTTAAAAGTGATAAAGTTTTGAGAAAATAGGATTCTATACACATACTTTCTGTTTGAATTCATGTGATGAGTTATCGTTTACATTCCTTACATTGAGACTAATGTACTTGTCTTTGTTATTGTCACAGTGTTTTGGACATTGTGCTACCTCACCTTCTTCAGGTGTTTGTCAATCCAGATGCCCTTCAGAGAATTTTGAATTAATGCTAATTTAATCTGTTGGGGTAGATTGTTCTTATTCCACTGTCCATATCTTTAGATATCTTGTCTTACTCTTTGCTTTGTTATTGCTTTCCCTGTTTCCAATGAGTTTAAGCTTGTACTAGCGACTCCAGGGATTGAACTCGCAATTACTATGTTGGCAAATTTACAAGTCAATACTTTAATATATGTTAATTGGAGAAAACATAAAATCCTAATTTAAGGTGATAAGCAATTTGTTCAAATGATGATAAAGAAACTATATTTTAAATTATTTAAGAAAAAAAAAAATATTTTAATACCTGTGTGACATTCAGTATCGAAGATAGCAAAAGGCCAAATGAGGTTAGATAACCTGCAGGATTTATCTATTTTGTGTGAAAACTGAAGTGAAGTGAAAAGAATTTTTATTGTTATCACAGTGCTTTGGCCATCTGGCAATACAGGTAATCTTCAGTGTGTTTTGAACGGAAGAAAGAAATCATTGTGATACATTTTTTTTTTTTTCGATTGACTTGATTTAAGAGAGATTAAAATTATTCTTTATTACTATTGTGGAGCTGTATGTTCAAATCATATCAGAGCAATTTTGATGGCATTTGCTTAATAAATGAATTCAACACATACATGAATTTTATATAGAGTTATATACAGAACTCGGTGTAACATAGAAATGGAGAGAAAAATTTATTCTTCAGCTATTAATCTCCGAGTGAGAAAGTTACTGACAATGTGTTTCTTTATGCATAAGGGTACCAGTTCATTACATAAGGGTACCAGTTCATTACATAAGGGTACCAGTTCATTACAGTATTGCCTTGTTTGTTAAACTGGGATATTTTCTTGCATTGTAAGGAGATATATATTTATGTGATAGGTTGCAGTGTAGATACTATAGTGCCTGCTTGAAGGTTTTGCTCAAACAAGAAGTAGTGTAGTATGTTACACATATCTAGAAAATAAGAAGTTCTCTAGAGGGGAGACTTATCCTATCACTATGGCATCTTGTTGGCAGAGAGAGAAAGAAAAAAAGCTAAAAAAGGGTTTGTGTCCTTTCCTTTTTATATTGCTTTACACAACATCACCATTAAGTGTTAGAAAAAGTTCCCTTGTAGACAAAGTGGGAGTAATCCCATGCTATAAATATTATTTTTAGTGGGTGCATATGTTTCAGTAACCATCTTACTACTTTTTTTTCTTTTTTAAACAGTGAAATTAATGTCTACTGGCATGGATTTGAAAGCCTTAAAGAAAATTCATTCCAACAGGAATCAAATCTGTATTCCCTTTTTAATCTGAGAAACCACCTTCAAGCCAGGCATGCTTTTACCATTAAGCTACAGGAAGCCATAACAGCAAAGCAAAACTCAATTATACTATTTAAGAAATGCACGTATCTTGTTCAGACCTAGGCATTTTGATATGGTGTAATGGTTAGTTAGCTTGTCTTGATGGATCAATTACAACTGAATAGTGAATTTGATACTTGCTCCATACTTTTGGCCTTGTGCCACATCTAAGTTACGCTTAGAAAATCATTTGGACACCTTGATGTGGTGTAATGGTTAACAAGAACAATTACAACTGAGTAGTGAGTTTGATTCTCACTGTGTGTCCTATACTTTTGGCTTTGTGCCACATCTAAGTTATGCTTAGAAAGCCACCATATTTGGGACTTTTCAATGTCTTTATTTCCATACTTGAAATAATGTCATATTAAAAAATCCATTAATTGATTAAAAATACTTTCTGTTGGTATTTCTGAGATTAGGAGCCATCATTATTAACAGTCAAACTAATGTCCTTATCTTTGTTATTATCACAATACCATATGGATGTCATTAAGAATGAACATAATGTGTTAGAAATACCAGCAACTAATAATTACACTGGGGTTATGGCAAAAAAAAAAGTTGCTGTGACAGGGATGATAAAACAGTAGTTTGGAATGACTGGTTAGTTTTTTTGAGATAATGCTGGAAGGGATGATGCAAAGTTTTTAATTAAAACTCTAGTATGTTTATTTTAAAGGCAACTAATTTCTTAAAATGAAAAAATTCTCATCAATAATGGTGGGCTTTTGATAAATGAGGCACACACAAATATTAAAAATTCAAGCATTTTTATACTGGTGAATGAAAAATGAAGGTTGAAGAACTTAAATATTTGTATTATTTCTAAGTGAAAAAAATTAGGATCTAATTGTAAGAACTAATTTTGCTTGAAGGATATTTGTATATTTCTGAGATGGTATTGTAATTATTTACATTGTTGTCCTCATTTTTATTATGTTCTTCAGGTGATATTTTCTGTATCAAAATTGTTTCAAATCTTTAATTAACAACATGTGTGCGTTATGTTTTCTCCTTATAAACTAAATTCAAAATACAATTGAGAATTTAAAAAATGGACACATACAGAAAATTTAGTCACAATGTGAGATAGATTGAAAATTCTTTTTATAAAGACAATTATTTATATTGTGTATAGCTGATATATTTTAAAGAAAAACAGACCACTTTAAGGTTCCATTATAATAATTTATTTCACAAGAGCCCTTTTAAACCAGTGTCCTTTAAAAGGGCTCTGGTGAAATAAATTATTATAATGAAACCATAAAGTGGTCTGTTTTTCTTCAAAATATTAGCTCTGGATTTATATTTAGCTCTCAGGATTTCATCCTCCTTGAGACTACCCATACGGATTACCAAATTTTTCAGAACTTTTTATATATATAATATATATATATATATATATATATATATATATATATATATATATATATAAAAATGCATCAAGAATATTTGTTAAACTTTGAAAAGACACTTTGAGCATGAAAATGAATTAATAAAAACATGTAAAATTGATTTAACCAAAATGTTTCAACAAAAATAAACAGGATTTTTATAAAAATTACTGTAAAATTTAATTTGTTTTTGTATTCATTATTTAAACTTTACTCTAACAATAAAAGAATGTATATTAAAAGGCCATTCATGACAAAAGACAGAGGCAACAAAAGATATATTACTGTAAATTTGTAATACTGAAATATTATGATTAAAAACTGATTAATCAATCCTCTCTCATCAGAGCAAAAACCAAGGACAAAAAAAATACAACAGATTAATATAACATTAAAGGCTAGTTTACCACCACTCACTCCTTCTGTTTACAGAGAGATGGCTGGTAAGACTTAATGTAAACAGATTCCAAAACCTTCAGATCTTACTCAACACTGAGAACATATCTATGCTGTAAGACCAGACACATTGCTAGTTTTAAATCAAATATTCAGCTATTTCTGAACTTGATACATTAATGCACATATGTAAATTGTCCATGTTCCCTTGTGAATATTGGCTGGTACGTGTTGGTTAATCTGTATCTCCAATTGTTAACCAGTTCTGCCTATATAGTTAGCATCATACTGATATCTGAATTTGTAAATTACAGAATATGACTGGTAGGGAGAACATCCTTCTTGATTGGTCTTGATACAAGTCAGGTACCAAAAACAATACATGGATTGACAACAAAATGACAACTTTTTGCACCAATCCATCAGGCTTTTGGATTGGATTTTTTATACCATGTCCTTTCAAGATATAGGTGATCATGGCTTGCAACAATGACCTTTTCTGTGAATTGGCATGATGACTTAGGAAAGATAATGAAGTAATTTCACATTGCTTTCTCCAGTTTTTTTTATTTTTTATTTTTTTTTTTTTTATCCTGAACAGTCTTTGTTCAAGGCTGCCACCCAAGGTTAGAATGGCCTATCTACCTATGCTGCCATTTAACCCTACAGTTGGAGGGAGAAGACGTGAATTCATGCTTTTCCAAAGGGCATTTGTATGAAAGTGAATGCAACAGAGTAGGCTGGAATTTGAACTTGGCTCACCAATTCCACTTCCCGCGTCAATGAGTTATGCTACCCACACATCCCAATGGACTGGATATACATGCTAATTAAAAAAAAAACAATAAAAAAACAAAGAAGCATTCTCACTGTTATACTTAACGACTCCAATATATGATAAAAAAAACAATGAGTGTTTTTCTACATCATTATATTTGCAGGATTTGATGGGATTAACACTTCTTAGCTTGTTATTCTCAAGCAAACTCATTGTTAATTAATTTTGTTATAAGATTGCCTAACCACCTGATGCCAATTGATTGGACACAATTCCTGGCTCTTGCATGGAATATAAACAAGGAATTATTAACTTCTGTTTGCCCGACAACTGCAATTACCAACATTTACAATGCCAATAATTTTACTATATATATATATATATATATATATATATATATATTAGTAAAATTTGTCACTTAGCTGATTGATGTTACCATTAGCAGCCAGAGTTTCGTAGACAGACCTCCCCATCCACTCTTCAGGAGGTATCAGCAATTTACTGGTTATATTTTTCCGATTTTTTT